TAAATTTTCAAATTAAAGTCATAGTATTCTAATTTTTTTTTCTTTAAATTTTATTGCAAAGAACTTCACATCGTACCACTAGAATCTAGAATTCAAATATACACAATAATTCTGATTGATTTCAAAAATGCAGCGTATGGAAATACGCTACGTGTCCTGACTTATGTCGGTAACTTCTATAATAGTCTTTTGTATTGAAATAACATTTTTCTTACAGTATAAGCAATCAGAAAACTGTGGGATCCGCTCACTGCGTGAACCCATTCGATCTCATGCATTTAAATTCAGAATTAGTGACGAGCTCTCTCGCGCAGAATTTAAAGGTAAACAAATGATCCCTTTTAAAATTCAAACTAATACCGATTTTATTGAAAACGCAAAAGGTTTTATTACATTTCGTTAGATTGCTATCTAGACGTCTCGGGTAGTCAGTCTTCTTTTGGTATTTTTCTTATTTAAGTGTCGTGCGTCGAGACAGACTAATTTTCCTCGCAAAAACCTCTCGAATAATATCCAAAAGTGATTGAACCTGGTGAGTTATTATTATATTTCTTAAAAAAATATATTATACTGAGAAAACTAATATTCTCCCCTTATCAGCTTTTTATTTTGTCTGCGACCAGGTTTCCCATTAGCTGGAGCAAATAGGGTCTCGCTCTCGAATAAAATTATGTGAAAGAGTAAAATTATTTTGTGATATTTATTACAAAGTGCTCTTCAAGTTGCAATTAAGGTAATAATTTTGAAAGTTTTATTAATTATACTCGTATTAAGTTTATAAGTGCCAATCATATGTTTTTACACGTTATAAGTCTTATGTAAAGTAAACAATGTACATTCGGTAAATAAAAAAACCATCACTACTTATCCCAACCCACCAATCAAACCCACGATCCGTTGATTTAAAAATAATAAATTTGATATTATAAATTATAAATTTATGTTAATAAATTATAATTACATATATTTTTATATATATACTTATAAATTTGAAATTATTGTATGTTTTGACTATGACTATCCTTATATTTTAAAAGCATATACAGCCTAAATTCAAGAGAAATTCCCACAGTTTTTTAAATTCATTCGAAATATAATTATTATTCTGATCAATGATGTGTCATCAACAGTGTATTGTAGGGTGTGAAGAGTTGGTCAATATTTACCCCTGCTACATTTTATAGGGGCCGATATGTATAGTTGCACAGATTGTATTGATAAAAATGATTACTGAGTCTTGTTTGAGTTATTGCATAGAAGAGAACTACTACCGTTGTCTAGTGGTTATAACACTCGAAAACAAATGACGAAGTTTAGTCATCAAACTTGTGTCCCAGAGAAAATATTAGGGGTTTGAAAGGGTTATAAAAATATGTCTATAAATTGAATAAATATAATATATTGGTTAATATGTTATTTATTATACATATATGCAACAAAGGTTGTCCTTGAGTTCAAGGAAATATTTTTTCTGGTCTTAATAAAAATTAACTTAAAAAATGGACTATATTGCTCAGATATCTCCGCACAACATCTATATTTTTTTGATTTAAACAAAACACTTTAAAACATGATGTATTTTAGTTTAAATTGTTTGAAAATAATTATTATAACTACGGCCCGACGTTTCCAATGCTTTGTTGTCTTTAACGTTTTAATCCGTTAAAGTGTTTTATTTAAATGTGTACTACTCGCGTAAACTACAAATAGTATTTTAACGTATAGATGTACTCTTAAATTTGTGGACTGTCACTTCAAAATTCTTGCTCAAAACTACGCTGAGAACAGAAACAAAAATATATAGGGAGCTGTGGGGATATCTAATATGAGCCGGATTTGGGCTTTGAACGGAAACCCTTTGAATTTCCATTGTGTTTCCGCACCATCTTACCCTTACGACCTTTTCCTTAATACGAAACTTCAAAGTTTGTGTACGTTTTCTTTAAGCTGTTACAGCCATGTCATTTGATATTAAAGAAAAAAGGTGGTATGCAAAGATTTGGATTTATCTAAACACAGTTACAAAACCCTTTTGTAATCCTAATAACTCCCCTGTATAAAAAAGCGCACTATGTAACTGTCACTAAGAATAGTCATTAAAGTTTGCTTGTAACTCTAAATTTAATAAAATAGCTTTCTTTTAATGAACTCAAAACAATTAATTCGTGTTCAATAGTAGATTAAGTAAAAACTGAAAAAAATGTTAAAATCAATAGTCTACTTTCGACACGAATGGGAATAAAACCAATTAACATACGGTTATTTATATATTGCTACCATCATAACACTTGAAAATAAATGATGGGATTAACAGGAAGATTTTGAGTCTGTAGTTTACGCTAGTAGTACAAATGTAAATAAAACACACGGTTAACGGTATAAAAACGTGTTTAAACTACTTAAATAATGTAAATAAGTCAATGAATATAGTACACTAAATTTGGATATTTATCAAGTTATCAAAATTCAAAAAAGACAATAGTCTAAATGCGTTCAACTATATATGTTGCGTTTTAAACCGTTAAAATTTTATATTTTATAATTTGTTTAAGATATGTATTTTAAAAATTCTACAAAAAAATAAACTCAACACATAGTTTTCTGGAACTATGTATTAATTACATCTTCGAGATTTTTCGGTAATCATATTTGCACATCAAGGCTTTATTTATAATTGCAATTTATCTACCAGACAGGGGTCGTCCAGCAATCAGCATACCTTTACAAAGAACACCGTTGGTGCCATTACACTTTATATACGGAGACAACGTTTGTTCGCCGCTGGAAAAATGTATCAGCGACATGAAAGGACGAGGTCTCGGTTCGTTACGTTTTGTCACTCTCAAACCGGGAGCGGTACAGTACCAACCTCTAACATGAATCTTTTACACCCGCGTCAAATATCATGATATAATTTGTAACCACTAGTCAGCGATTGTTTATGGTCTTACATCTCAGCGAGATATACACGATGTTACACCTAACTACTTGTGTTTTTCCTCGCCAGAGCAGATGTATCGCGCAGCTTTTCCTGTTCAACTTGCCGGCGCGGTAGGTTCGTGTCAAAACAACTGTCATTACCAATAGTCTAGCGGTAGGGTGATGGGGTCTTTAATTTTTTAATTAGAATAATTTAAAATAAATTAAAGGTAAAAAATAATCCGTTATTGTCATACTAAGAAGTCAACACAAATCTACTATCTGAAGCTTACGCGAGTTTTTAAATAAAACACGTTTAACGGTTTAAAACGCGAAAACTATTTGTTAACTTATTAGGAAAAATGTTTTAACTACAGCCGTGGTCCCCATGTGACAATGGCTGCTATAAAGCGTCCGAAATGTCGGGCTGTGGTGAAAATAATTTCTAAGCAAGTTAACTAATATATTTCGCTTTAATAATCGCTAAAAATGTTTTATTTAAAAGATATTTATGATTGCTGATCGGTGATTTTTTTATCAGTGAACAGTAATTGTGACCTAGAAACGATAGCAAATGGCTATTTTTTTACAACTTTACATCTAAACACATGCATTATTAATGTAGTAATAATATATTTATTTATTTAATTTCTAGACATTTATTTATTATCTAGTCTTAATACCATACCCCGCAAATGCAACACGATAATCCAAACAAATGGGAGCACATTTTACATTATATTCGTAGTCGATGACAAAATATACAATTCTGGAAAGCTAGACAAAGATGCGGCTGTAGTTTATTTTCTTACATTTCACAAATTGCGACTTATAAATCAACTCGAGATATTTTTCTTCGCTCTAGAGCAACGATCGTTTTAATGGTCTAGAAAGAAATTATACGACAAAATTATTATATTATCTACCGGTATTCTTCTTGTGAGTTCGCGTATTCAGTTCCCGATTGTGCACCAAAATTGCATGCGCATAGCCCAAAATTATACGACTCGTGTCGTAACGAAATAAATCAAGTATTAATCCAGCGACATTATAGGTACAGGGTGGTAGGAATATCGAACCACCGTCCAGAGATGAAGCCGAAGAAGTTTAATCGCGCTAACCTTATGCGTTTTCGAAAAGCCAAAATAAAAATTAGTCAACAGCGTATCTCGTTTAGATGCTATAAGTGAAATCCCGTGGGCCTCTCGTGGGACATGGGGCAAACACATTTTTGTGTTTGCCCCATGCTCCACTGTTCATCAGATTTCTATGCCTTGCCCGACTGAAACACTTTTTTGTTTCTCTGACATTCAAACCAATGGACCTCTCGCGCTTAAGGCAATGCGTTTAACCATTAGGCTACAGAGGCGGTCTTGGATAGGTCTTAGATGCTGTAGGTTAAGGTATTTCACCTACCATGAGCCGCTTGCTTGTCTATCGACATCTATCATTGAAAAAAAGAAAAATACAGAGGCGAGCCTAGAACCAGATACCTTAAACAAAGCAGCAATTGACATAAATTGATTCTAGAAACTTTACTCGTCATTTCTACCAATTATCTATACTACTAATATAAAGCTGAAAGTTTGTATGTATGTTTGATCGAGCTAATCTCAGAGACCACTAGTTCGAAATGGAAAGTTGTTTTTGTGTTAGATAGAGCATTTATTGAAAAAGGCTATAAAAATCGCGCCATGACTAATAGGATCAAAGAAACAGCAAGAATTGTGGTACAAGCGGAGTTAATTATTCATCTTCGTGGGGTTTCAATATACCCAAAAAAATATGAACAAAAGAATGATTCCTCTTTAAACGATCTAAAAAAATGTCCACAACACTATATGTCTATCTTTTGAGATTAACCTGCAAGAACGACGGGACGCAACTGACGTCGTGGGAAACAGCTTAAATCTATAAACACGAAGAGGAGCTTTGCAAAACCCAAAAACACTATTCTACGCGGACGAAGTCGAAGTCACTATAGAAATATTGATATACCGTATCGAGAAGCAAACTGTAATTCTTCTCAAATTGGTCAGCGGTTAACCTAAATCTACGTACAATCTAGTTCAGAATATTACCTTTAGTGCTTTCAACGACACAATCGATCCGCCACAGGAGGAGAGCCACGTAGAAATTCCTCAGCATTTTGTCGAGGGAGTGAAACTTCGTCTTACGAAACCGCCTCATCGTTCACCAAATGTTCGGCACCTCTGCCCTTTAAGCCTAATCGGTCCAACATTACTTAATCACAATATCTCAATATCTGCTTTTATAAGCTGTCCAGTAAGAAAACAACGTGTTTTTCACATCGCAAAATTTGTTTCTTTTATTTAAAATTGCAATATTTTATATAACTATGGCAAGATTATGAGGCCGTTTATCTGACGTTAAAACACTGTTGGTTAAACCTGAAACAAAAGAAATTTTCTTTGTATTACTTTTGAAAACATTAATATTTTTCACATGTTATTTGCACATGAAGGCACTATATAATTTAAAGATGGAAAATAATGCTCTGCACCAGCAACAGCACGGAACGCTGTCATGTCCTGACTGAGTCGAAATTTTTTTCAATTTATTTTTGATCTTTAAAAATTATAAACACCACATGACTCTTTTGAAAAATACAAAATCTTGTGAACTAGCTTATAAATAAAAGACGGCCTTATCTTTAAACAGCGTTCTCTTTCAGACAACCTGAAGTGTATTGAAAAACAAAATGAGAACACCCTAGAGCTTTGCTTACCATTTTAACAAATGTCAAATACTAGAAATAAATCATTATTTAAAATTCTTCGAAGGGAAAGACTATTATAAAATAAATAAAAACTATTAATTTTTAAAGCATATTAAAAATACGTTCCATGTTATATAAATAATATTTAAAATTTTAATAACACAACAATGGCACACAACAATAAAATATTCTATTCATAAATAAAATCTCTCGGATACTAATTTATACGTATAATATTCAATAGTTACCAAATAACTTAAGTAAAATATAAGAAACGGATCTTAAGTTCATTAGAATATCAGCATTGGGACATAAGTCCCAACATAGCTGAGAGGCTCCCTTTCAGAGGCAACTATACTGTTTTGTTTAATTATAATATAAATTAAATTTGTATTTACTTCTCAAAGATTATTGTAAAAGTTGTGTTTCTGAATATGCTTCTTTCTTTATTCTATTTATATTATCCGAATAATGTTAAAATGATTATACTTTATAAATTATATACATACTGACAGTATACCTGGCGAATTTAATATTTATGGGACATTTAGAATAAACATTTTACGAGAGAATATGGCTAAATATCCTGACATCTGTTTATCTTTATTTGTAATTAAAGCGGCATCTGGTTTACTTGCGCTAATAATATCGAGACTGAGGGACATTTCCTTTAACTTAAGTCATGTTTTCAATCGGAAATTATTTAAATTTTTAGTGATTTGCGTAAACAGGTCACCGGTGCGGGTAGGGGGTCATGGCTACTATAAATGATTAGGAACATCGCGTTAAAGTTAATTAACGAATATTTCAAGTTTTAAAACGTTAAAAATGTTTTATTTACGCCTAACAAATTCAACTTTGTATTTTAATATTTAATGTAAGCTTTCACTTCTATTTAATCTTTCCTTCAAACCGTTTCGCTGTTTGTTAGTCTAAACATTATTTATAACCGAACTGCCAATACAAAAATATTTTGCGTCTGTTTAAACAATACTTTAAAGTTAAACAGATTTTATTGAAAAATCATCGCATATTAAACAAGGCCTTCTTAACAGAGCCGAGTTATATCTACCTGTAGTTAGATTTAACAATAATTGTAGTGCGAAATTTTAATATTCGAAGCGTCTTTCGAAAAATAAATTGTAAAGTTGTTAATTAATATATTTCGTGTTTTAAACCGTTAATACTGTTTTATATAATGTATTCTACTCGTGTAAACTACAGAAATTACTTGTGTCCTCTTATCTAACGTTCTTATCGAACGGTATACTTCGTTACGTAACACATTACGGTGTACATGTTTTAATATGTACTATCGCCATATAACTGTACCGTCGCAGACGCCCTCGCAGAAATTAATTCACTTTCTAATCTCGCAAAGTTTGCTACTAACATCGAATGCCTTCAAAGACACGAAGCTAAAAGGATTTCGTATTCAGATTTTAGAGGGCTCATTGTAACCGTAAAAACATTTTCTTACACCGACGAGCACGTTACACAATTTTCAGCTTCTGACGTTGCTTCTGCAAAATTCCATTACCGGAATAGCCTCAAGTGAAGCCGCTCTTTACTTTATACCATTTTTACATGTTGAAATACAAGCGTTTAGTTAGAACTTAATTAGCGCTATAAACTTGTTAGTGGACCCTCGAATTAAAGCGGTTTGAGTGGATCGCAATGAAATGGTCCGTTGTGAAAGTTTTATATCCTAGCCAAATGTTTGTTTTGTATCTATCGCCGGCCTAACTGCGTCCCTTGGTCAGTTACAAAATAAATATCATAATACTTTAATATCGAACATTTTATATTCTAAGTATTGTCTGTAGTTTACGCGAATAGCACACATTTAAATAAAACAATTTTAACAGTTTAAAACGAGAATATCATGTCCTCAGTAGTAGTAACCAGGTATTCAAAACGTCGGGCCTTATAAATTGTAAACAAGTTAACTAATACATTTCGCGTTTTAAACCGTTAAAAGTATTTTATTTAAATATTACTTGACACGGCATAGAATATAAACAGGCATTTTTCGATGTATTGCTTAATAGTGATTTCGAAACTTTCTCACTAAAAATAACTTTATAAAAATACTAGTGGCTAAATTTATTGCTTTTGAGCTTCGTGACTCAATAGTATAACACCGCTAGCATTCCGTCAAGCGAGATTTGTACTCTATTATTGTATGTAAGGCGTTATTAGGGCACAGAAGGTATCACCTACTTGTATGTATACATAGCAATCAGTAAAACGGATACAGAAATGTGTCCGTCTCTTATCCTACATTATGAATAGGTATCACACATGATGTTCACTAGGTATTTTGAACGCGACTTTTTCATGATGATGAAACTCAAGCGCACGTTGGAACCTATCGTAATGAATGCTTGTTATTTTTATACATAAAACAAACCACAATCCCGTTTAGATGTTTCATCATTATAACGAAACATTGTTAAATTTGTCGATTTAAACCATTCTATAATATCTTATTGCTTTTGTACCAGTGTTGCCGTATAATATATTATTCGTAATAGGCCATAGAGGTTTATAGCTCGAAACAGATCAAACTTTTCAACATTATACAGACAGTGACTCGTCCTAACTTCCCCTGACAACCATTAAAGTTATCCTTATAAAATATTCTAAACACCGGCGATGCTTCAGCTTGCGAAATAGCCTCGCCGATTTTATTTACTAGGATAATCTTCCCCGTGAAATATATTTGGGCGTACCTGCCCGTAATCTATAGCTCCTTTGTGTTAGAGAAAATACACCTGTTCTAGTTTGGTGCGGTGATAACAAATTTTATGTCGTCGTTACATTAAATAAATATCAACTAAGCTCAAGCGGCAATTTCGCTCGTTTTATTATTCTAATCACATCTTTAGGATTTATAATAATATTTTATGGTTGCATTCATTTCATATTCTGAATGGAAAATCTGCTACAAAAACTTTGTTATGGCTGAACCTCGAACGTATTCTCTGCTTTGTATTATGTTTAACAATATGTCGCCACTGTCAATGGAGCTAATATGTTTAATTTATGTTTGGAAATCCGTGCTTTTTTAAAGATATCAAAGATTCAAAACGAGAATATTTCTTAATTTATTCTTAATTAATTTATTAATCCTGGTGTAGTAGTTTAAACCCTGAAAACTTATAAGTAGTCATTTTATTTCAGAATTTAACAGACACTAAAGTAGTCTTTTATATCAGTTTCTTTATTACAGAGAAGGACAGACAAACATGGGGCTTATTTGATAAAACGTGACCCAGCCATATAACATCTAAACAAGATTCGTTGTCGACCTATTTTGGCTTAGGATATTTGGAAATCCATAGGCCTGAAACCGACACGCAATAACTAAAAGCTCATAAAATTTCTTTAAAAAAAACGCAATTCCCTCTGCTAGGAAACAAAGCTCTTGGAGCATTTCGTTTTCGAAGTTCATTTATATATCCGGGACAGTTTGGGCACAAAATAAAAAGCATGTAGTTGTGGGTGTATCGAAACCGCAACGTTGTATAGAGAATGACGCAACGAGCAACCGAGCCGATAGCGTCTCTCTCCCGGGAAAATGACAGTTCTTCTCAGCTGAAACACCGCTTTTTTATAAAATAATCAATTTAAAAACGATTTCAATATTATTTTCCCTCGTTTCACGGGAACAGCTGAAAATACGCGACTGAAAGTTCGAGAACGTGAAATTCGGAGGCTATTTATTATGTATCTTCGTATCGAATATTTATTGAAGTGCAATTAATATTTTTGGAGCTTTCAAAATGGGGAAGCATTTTTTTGTGCGGAGTGTTAAGCAAATGTTGACGCGTTCACGCAACACGGACTGCTTTAAAAACATTGTCCATAAAAACAACAGTATTAAAAAATTGTGTTGTTCTTATTATATAAAAAGTTACTACAATGTAATTGACAGAATAAAGGTTTACATATATGTACGCTGTCAGAGCCTTATGCCAATTTTAGTTGCTTTGACAGACAAATGTGTTAATTTAACATTAAATAAATACTTTTTTAACATTGTCTATCTCTGGCCTGATACATTCAGAAAGTCTACAATACCACACTTCATGTCTTATCTATAGATCAACTAAATATCGATTTTAGAATTTTTTTTATTACGACACGGACAGGTCTTGGTCCCGTGCTGTTGCTGTCCTACACGTCATTGTACTTTAACCTATCATACACCTCTCGCACAATGTAATGTGAATATATAGGTTATAAAGTGAAATCCCGTCCCCCTTGTGGGGCATGGGGCGAACACATTTTTGTGGCCGTTGCCGTTCGTTCTTTTAAAAGGCAAGTAGTTTATCAAACTTCTGAGCCCTGCCTGACCGGAACAATTTCTGTTTCCCTGTGATTTGAAGGGTCGAAAGGTCCTAGGACCTCTCGCGCTTAACGTGCTAGGCAATACGTTTAACCA